CCACTTTTGCAGCACGCACCCTCGCCGCGGCGCACGCTCACCCCGTCTCATTATTATTATTGTTACTATTATTATGCGAAAGCGTAAAGAGGGGGTACAGCGCACACGGCGGCCGTTAGCATCTGACGGTGTCCCGCTTTTGCCCAACGGCACGGGTCGCCCTTGTCGGTGCGTCTTCCAGTCCATGGCGTGGGTGACAGGTGAACGCTACCTGCCACGCAGCATTAGGCTGCAGCACACTATTGGGGGAGGGCGCGTGGCGGGGGGAAGAGAGAGGAGGCGTTTGGGGGAGGACGCGTCGTTGACCCGCCCGCGGCGATGACCATACGACAGGCGGGGCAGCACCCCAAGTGGCAGTCGCTGGAGGAGGGAGGTGGGCGCTTAAGTCGAGGCGTTTTCTACAGACTGGCACTTACGTCCCGCGAGGAGCCAAAACACCACAGAGGTACCACAACAGTCGCTCATACGTTGAAATCAGCAAGATGCCCCTCACGGTAGTGCCTTTATATTTTTTAAAAAAAAAACACTTTTTTTTTGAATGTGTGGTGGGTTTTTTTCTTCTTCCATCTCTCCATCGCTCCCTCTGGTGCTGCGGCACGAAATTGTCACACACTCCTGCGAGAGTAACAGCTATGAATATACGGGTCGGTATATGTGTTGCTTTTGCACGAGCCTGGGGGAGGGGGGGGAGGGAGGTGCGTGCTATCGGTCTGCCTGTAGCCGCTCTTCCCCACCCATCCCACACACACACACACACTCAGCGTTATCCTCTTCTTTTTCTCGCTTGCCGCTTTCCACGCAGTTGCCGCAACAATGACGCTTGGCCCCTGCGCACGCGGGAGCCAGCAGCGAGCGCTCTGGCGCCGCATCACGCCTTCATTGTCGATGTATGGTCTCATCGATTTCTCACTCTTTGGTCGGTGTCAGCGGCGTTTATTTGCCACAGGCGCAGGGACGATGGCGACGCCCGGCAAAGTGCGGGTGCACGTCACCTCCGCCGAGGGGAAAACGGTGTCCTTCACCGCCCCCACGGGCATCACGCTGATGGAGGCGATACGAGACGTTGGGAAGCTTGACATTGAGGCCGCCTGTGACGGAACGTGCGCGTGCAGCACCTGCCACGTGCTGCTCCGCCAAGAGGACTTTCAGAAGCTGGGCGAGTTGTCGGAGGATGAGATGGACATGCTCGACCTGGCGCCGTCCGTTACTAAGACATCGCGACTGTCGTGCCAGGTGCAGCTTACCGACGCACTCGACGGCATTACCGTGCAACTGCCGCCGGAGACAAGCAACCAGCTCTCCTGAGGCCTCTTCGCGAAGGAGCAGAAGGAGCCCGATCTCACAGTCAGGCGTGTGGGTGGCTTCTCGTGAGGAAAGGTTTAAAAAACGAAAAGGAAAGAACGGACGGCGATGTGAGCCATGGGGCATGAGGCTGTGCAGACTGTTATCGTGCGACTCACATGCATAAAGACACATGTGCACACACAACTGCAAATGCTGGAAGTTTTGCTAAAAGGAGGAGGTGCGTGGCGCTATGGGCGGAAGGAGGCTTCGCTGCAAAGACCTGTCAGTGATCAAGGGAGTTTGTGGCTGAAGCGGCAGGACACGGCGCGCTCGCCTGCCTTCAGCGCTGTGCCCCACCTTTTGAGTTTCCTTTTGCATCGCATCCTGGCGATCCTTCCTCGCACTCTCGCCACCCACGCAGTTAACTGCATCCGTACGAGGGAGGACGCGTGGGAGGACCTCTGAAGCGTGTGATTGTCATGGCTTACAAACCACGAGGAGGCGAAACGAAGTAGGGCGAATAACAGCTGCCCACACGCGACAGCCACTTTCCACTGCCGTCGCCTGAGGAAACGATGGCGCTGGGAAGAGAAGAAGGCCACGGTGATGCTGCGCGGCAACCCGCTAGCGGACCCTGCGGCGTTGGAGTAACGACGTGGAGAGCATCGTGAGAAGACGGGGAGTACAACGACACTCCCCACCACCACCAAAATTCCACCGTACTGCTCTTTTGCTCGTTGCGAGATCACAGCTTCCTTCCGTGTCTGTGCCTGGCGTCGCCGAGAGGCCGCGCTGCCTGTAGCCCCTTTACTTACGCCCTTGACGTCCCCTACTTTTCAGCCTTCACTCTTTCTTCCCTTCCTCGCACTTAGGACGCGGCAAAGGAAGCCACACAAAAGGTCAAAAGAAATCAACAACGATTTAAAAAAAAAAACTGTCAGATACATGGGCCGTTTCATGCCCATCATGCTGCCGCTCCTCCTTCTTCTCCTTTGGCTCACCGGTGGCCCCTGCGTTATCGCGGAGTACCGCTGCATGTTTGACAAGATCGCCCCGAAGTGGAGCGAGCTGGGCACCGCTGTGGTGCGGGAGCTCCCAAAGGCAAGAGAAGGCAGATGGCAGGCATACACCGCGGCCGTCTCAGACTGGGCGCCTATCCGGATTAAGGTCTTTGCTGAGGACTTAAAAAACAAGCTAAGGTACTGCACGGCGCAAGGGGATATACGGCCGGATTTTTCCGGGGAGATGGTGCGGTGCCAGCGGTCGGACGTCGTCACGAAGGAAAAGATGGGGATTATCTTCACTGAGCTGCTTCCCAAAGCTGTCCAGCTTCACGCTGAGCGTCTGCTTGTGCGTCCCGTCCGTGGTGCTTTGACGTTGCCATTGTTCAAGCTGGGGATCTGCAGCGAGTTTACTGTTCCCGTTGCGCATCACGTTTCGGGGGTTGTTGGTGCCGACACGATCCTGTACGCTGCTGCCGCTCCCACCCACGACGGGGTTGTCGCGTGGGCCTCCCCATGTGTGACGCTGCGGGATGGACGACCCGCCGCCGGTGTCTTGAACCTCAACCCAAGCTTCATCGCCTCCACGCGGGAGAGCATACGCGCCGCCGCGCATGAAATTGCGCACGCGCTCGGGTTTCACAACGAATTGATGGGGAGGCTGGGGATGATCACCCTGCTTTTGGGCGTCCGCGGCAAGGCGAGCACGTTTGTGGTGTCCTCGAACGAGACACGTGCGAGGGCGCGGGAGCACTACGGCTGTAACACCGCGTCTGGCATGGAGCTTGAGGACGAGGGTGGGAAAGGGACGGCGCATTCGCACTGGGAACGTCGTAACGCGAAGGATGAACTGATGAATCCGTTGGTCGGCGCAGGCTACTACACCGTTTTAACGCTGGCAGTGTTTGAAGACATGGGCTACTACAAGGCGAACTTCAGCATGGCAGAACCCATGGGCTGGGGTTACAAGGCTGGATGTTCGTTGCTGCAGGAGAAGTGTCTGAAAAACGGGGTTACGGCTCACCCAGAGATGTTCTGCTCGGGTCCATCCCGGGCCCCGACCTGCACCTCCGACCGCCGTGCTCTGGGAACCTGCATGATCATGGTCCACAAGAACGCGCTTCCGCACGAGTATCGATACTTCTCGCAGAGCAACGTTGGCGGGAACCCTGACATGCTGATGGACCTTTGTCCCGTCATCAACCCTACCAAGGACGCCGGCTGTGCTGATGGGACGCCCGCCTTTATGCCTGGGAGCCGTGTTGGTCCGCAATCGTTTTGTCTGAAGGGTGACTCGCTCCAGATGCTCCTTCACGGCCGCATCGGTGACGTCTGCGCAGAGGTGACGTGCCTTGAAGGGGTTGTGCGCGTTCGGTACCTTGGCGATGAGGCCTGGCACTTATGCCCCGAGGGTGCCTCACTGGCCCCGACGTGGCCTTTCACGGGCGGCCGAATTCTGTGCCCAAGGAGCGTTGAAGTGTGCCCTCGCCTGCCTGCCAAACTGCCTGGCAACAGCGAACGTGAGGCGACGCAACGCGAGGCTGGTACCCCCGAGGGAGAGGGGCACCGAGGGAGGAATGACGCTGCCAACACCACAACAACTACGAGCACGATCCAGAGCATGTTTGAGCAACTATGTCTAATGCTTGGCATCGACTGTGCAGGGATTAAGTGGTGAAATTGAAGCTTTCTCGTTTCCTTTCGAGGAGGTGGGTAACACGTCTGACCCCTTTTGGTGCCGTCCCCTCATACATGCACGTTTCTGTATATGTCTTCTGTGGTTTGGATTTCCCCACTTTGCAGCACGTACTTTTCTTTCTTTGTTTTTGTTTTTGTTTTTCTAACCAGGCGTGGGTGTTGCTGCCCCACCCAACCTCTCTTTTTTTTGGCAACGATAAGCTCTGTGAGAAACACTGTGGGGCTAATTAAAATAAAATTGCTTTTGTATCTATTGATGCCTCCTCCTCTGTTCACACGCTTGCGGTCCACACTTTATGGGCCATGCGGCTCCATTTTGTTTTGCTCCATGGTGAACTGAGTTTTACACACTATTCCCATGATCCCGTGGCGCCGTGCAAGCGCGTATTCGCAACACGACAAAGGCCACAACCGGCGAGGATACGGGCTGCCGTGAAGCAGCCATGACGGTGGCACAAACGATACACACTATACCTTTGCCTTTTGTTTTCCAACCATCTTTTACACATTACTGGGCAACTCCCTTGCTTTATTATTTCAACAAAGGTCTGTGCTTCTCTATGCACCAGGGGTATTCCTTGCTATTGCTGCAACCTCACTACGCCCTCCTTTTCTTCCTCAGACCGCTCTCTTATCTGCAGAGGCATTTCCCACAGACGACAGCAGCAGCAATGAGCCCCCGCACCGTGGCTGTCGTGGCCGTCGTCCTCATCCTCGTCTCCGCAGGGGACGTTGGGGCCGCCTACACCCAGGCGGTGGCAGCGACGGCGCTGGGCCTTGCGAAGGCATCGTACTGCGACGGTCCAGCCATCGGGAACTGGAGCTGTGTATCCTGCACCGAACACCCGGGAATGGAAAAGGTGCGGGTAATATCGAATGCCGTGGTGGGCACACAGGCCTTCATGGGCGTCAGCACGAGCCACATTGTCGTGAGCTTTCGGGGATCGCACAGCATTCGTAACTGGATATATAATTTAAACTTCCATCATGCTTCCTACATAAAACCCAACTGC